ATCACGTGTCTATATATACCTATTAATTAACTCATATCCGGTACGCGAACAGTCTGCGGATATTCTTCATATTTACTCTGAGTGCGTGCATAATCTGTTTCCGAGTAAGTCCGGAGCGCAGAACTCCGTATAGGGTCTGTAGAGCCTCGAGTTAGTAACTAAAGCCATGCATGCTGATGGCTGAGTGCGTGTTATCGTGTTACTGTTGAGTTCATCGTTGTTTCCTGCTCGAAATAAAGAAAATCCTGCACGCGAGCCTTTCGGCACTTTACCCGAGATGGTATATAGCTTCTATATTGACACATCAGCAGTCATGCTCCATTGCTCATATAGAGGGCTGACAGAGTGGGCATCGATGAGGTGTACATCGATTAAAGTCGCCTGGCTTCCTAACAAATCACAGGCATCTAATTCGCTATGACGATTCGAAGGGAGCCGCAAACGACGTGGCATACGAATGAGAAATCTATGAAATATATTTGTGCGTATGTGTGACTTGCGTGTAGGCACGATTGCTTTCAGGAAAGACATCTTTTATTGCACTCGGGGGACTATGCTAACACGAGGAGGCAGGTGCATGTAAAGACTGTAACGAACCACGTAATGTCACTGGGATCTGCACTGGGACAACCCGTGCGCGATTGTCCTACCACACACACACAAAGCTAAATTATATCGGCTCGCTTATCCTATCGGCGTTTCAGGGTCGACACAACATAAAATCAATTTCTTCTACACACTGCACACCTGCGCGCGTAAACACACACACACACGTACACGCACACGCACCTATGCACGCACAATCGCACGCACGCACGCAAGCAACCCCCTTCCACACAACACACGCGTGCCCACCGCGCGCGGTATACGTGGGTATACGGGGGTATATACGGGTATTACGGGGGTATACGTGCATGCATGTGCAGTATTTCATCGCCATTACCCAAAACTCGAGCGCGCACGAGGTGCGTCGATACCGTCTACGAGAACAACCTTCTAATTAATTCGTAATATTACGTTTAAAAATTCATAAGTGCGGGAAATTTCATCGTTCAGGTTACCGACTCACAAACATTAGAGCGCGAAGTATTTTTATTGCTTAAATTTTATCGAATTTACACAAGCGCAGGGTCATAAGCCGCCGGCACTCAATAGCCTCGTCTACACTACGAACCTTAACTCGAGTTAAGACAACTCGAGTTAGCGTTAACTCGAGTTAGCTTAACCTCGCCAGTCGATCGAGGTTAAGCTAACTCGAGTTCCCTTAACTCGAGTTAAGGCCCCGTGTAGACGCTTAACTCGAGTTAGCGAATAGTACATAACTCCACGATAGGCGGCAACACTAGTACAATGTACGTACACACGCACGCACGCACACACGCACTTGCACACGTACGCAAACACTCATGCACGCACGTGTATGTGCACACGCACGTACGCACGCATGCACGCATGTGTACGTGCGCACGCACGCACGCACGCACGCACGCACGCACGCACGCACGTCTATACGTGCACATGCATGCACGCACGCACGCACGTGTACCTGCACACACACGCACGCACGCATGCACGCACGTGTACGTGCACACGCACGCACGCACGCATGCACGCACGTGTACGTGCACACGCACGCACGCACGCA